CACTGCCGGCTGTAAAAGCCAGTCGCCATTCTTCCCTTATTCTGTACAACTATAACTTCAATTGTGCTTGTGGCACGAGATGAATTCAGTCAAAACAACAATAATAATAAAAAAAAAACCATTTTCTTCCTTGCGGATAGGGGTGGCTGGCAGATGAAACTGAGACAGGGAAGCAGGAGGAGTAGCGACCATATTGTAACTATTTAGCGATCACGTAAGAGAAGCTAAGTGGCCAACTAGCAGTAGGCAAGTCTGTGTCCCTTCTGGCAAATGGAGATACTTTATATCCCTGGGCCATCCTGCCTTGAAGCTCTTGGGGGGTGGGGGTTCTATTTAGTTAAGCACTGTCATCACGTTTCTCAGGAGCAGCTAACCTCAAGACACTCAACAAGTTAAACCCATTTTTTAGCAAAACACAGACTAACACCACCTCACTCAATGTTACATTGTCATGGTGTAGCATAAAGTTCACTTATTATGTAACCGTATGCCATGAGCATAGCATGAACACAGGAAATCTGAAATCAAGCTCTGCAGAATCCTGAAGCCAACCGAAGTCGCCTAAGCAAGATCATCCCAGAATGTGCTGTACAGAGCGGAGAACTTGCCGAGGCACTGACCCTAACATTCGCCTTGCCGGAGTACCAGAGCTAGTATGCAGAAAAGAGAGCTTATTAACCAATCACACGAGCTGGTATCCAGAAAAGAGAGAACATTTACCAATCACACGGCTCTTCGAGATGTCAAAACTGAACTGAAAATGGAAACTACTGTATTCTTGCTTCCTTCAGCCACCAGAAACACAGTAATTCTACAGATACCCGTGGAGGACAGCAAACTTCACCTGTGGTCCAAACCATAAAAGGTTGTCTAGGCACTGCCGTAAGTAAGTAACCGAACTGTCCACCAATTTTCACAGAGAATAATGTTCCCACATTTCTATTATTATTATTATTAACGTGTGGTGGCAACAAATAAGTTCCAGATCACTGGCAGAATCAGTACCATGTTAGACCAAGAAACTTTAACATTTTCAAATTAATTTTCAATTAGACTAGCAAGATGTTTCAAATGACAGCAACAATCATGGAAAACTAAGTTTGATCCCCAGAACCTGCACAAAAAGCCAGATCTAAGGAGTAGGAGGATGGGAAAGAATGTGATAAAAATACATTGTGTGAGCCAGGCGGTAGTGATGCACACCTTTAATCACAACACTCAGGAGGCAGAAGCAAGGGAATCCCTTAGTTCAAGACCAGTCTGGTTACAGAGGAAGTTCCAGGACAGCCAGGGATACACAGAGAAACCCTGTGTCCAAAAAATAAAAATTACATTACAATGAAAGTCTCACAAATAAATGAAATACTAGATGTCATACTACATATCTGTGATCCAGTGCTCCTGTGACAAGACGGTTGACACAGACAGGAGAATGGCCACAAGCTCAGAAGGCCAGCTAGCCTGCAGCAGGCTGCACAGCACACTGCGAGCACTTGCCTCAGTGGGCTGGAAGGAAGAACTGACTCCTCCCCAAAGTTGTCCTCTGACCCTCACAAGTCACACACACACACACACACACACACACACACACACACACACACACGACAGCCACAAACACACATCACATGCATACTCACATAACTAAGTAAAAACCACACAGAATAAAACATGATTCATATTAGCATTTTCACACTTAACATGATATAAAAGTATCTGTGTTGGGAAGACACGATCAATGACAACTCAAGCGGCAAGCAGCCCTTCAGATTAATGTGACAGCTAAGGATTCATCTATAACATTTATTTCGCTATACTTGAGAAGATGAAATCACTCTACCTTTTATACTAAGCTACTAAGAATATTTTCTATCATACAGGGAATGTACTACATAATTTACAATAGATAGAAAGGTGCTAACATGGGCAATTTCAAACATAAACAATATTAAAGAATTATGCTTTATTTTTCTAAATGCCTTTACTCACTCTGATTTGGTACCAAACCAGGAATGTTTTGACTATGAATCTGTTTTACAAATAACCGGATGAGAATATGATCCAGAAAACGGCTCCCGTCTTTGTAGCAAATAAATCCTAGTGTTATTCTAGTTCAGTAAACAGTTGCCTATTTTTACTCTGACTTAAAGGACCGAAGCCATACACAAGAATAGCGCACACCATGAAAACCCAGAGCGTGCTCACCACTAACTCTGTCTCCAGAGGGCCTGGGATGGAGTCCTCCCAAGACTGCATGAGGACTATGCCGAACAGGCTCCCAGCTTCCAAACCCAAGACTTCTAATTCCTAACATTATAGATTACTGTAATTTTACATTTTGACAACAGGCTCATTTTGAATTTACTCCAGTTGACTCTACCACTTACCCTACTCAACAGCTGGGCATACACTTGGCAACCCAGTCACACGGCAGAGAAGAGCAAATGCACTCTTGTAACCAAGGATTTCAACCGAAATCAAAATCAAAATAACCTCTCTTCAAACGGGAACACACAATGTGTTGAACAATGCAGTATTTCAGAAAACTGAACTTGGAAAGTTTTGCAAACTGGCGCTCCCTATTCAAAGCAGACAATTCTTTTCTGATTAGATCAGCCCCTATAGCCAGCCAATGGGAAAATAAGTGCCGTAGTGAAGTCATCGTATTGGTCACTGATGGGAAATCAAAACTGGCTCCCAAACACATCAGGAAACAATGGCTTCCCCAGGTCTCCAGCCTTTCATAGAGTACGCTGGCCAACAAGCTTCTTTTCCTCTCCAAAACTAAGTGAAATTCGGAACATCTGTACAGCCAAATGCAAGTTGATGACCTAAGCATTTCAAAACCACAAAGAGTGAGGGAAATACCCCCCTTGATTTCTGTCTGTGAAATCCTGGGCAAAATGTCTTAAGAAATTTATGTTTGAGTGCATTACTGGCAGTCATATTAGCATCAAAATGAGGCAATGACAGATGCACAGTGGCCACTTATATTTAATTTTCTGTTATTTACCAGGACAAATAAGGCAAGCTTTTAAACAAAGTCTTTTTCCTCAAGACTGGCCAAAATCAACAGTCCGGTTATTTCTTTTTCAGTCACCTTAAATTACCCACTCACCACTGATACTGAACTTGATTGGACCAAAAAAAAAAATTTAAAAAAGAAAAATTAAAAGCTGTATTTTTTCCACATATATACTGTAGACCTTCTTGACTTTTTTATACAGCTTATAAGCCTATTTTGCAATATTTCTCTTTTTTAACTTTCTAGAGACAGCTAAGTAAGAATATTTAAAAAAAAAAAAAGAAGCAAACCTCAGTACATTACATACACAAGCAAATGCCCAGATATGAGTTGGCTTAAAATATCAGTGCACTTGCTCAGAGTGGTATAATCCACAAGAGAGCTTTGGCACAAAGGAATTCCAGTTGTGTTTACAAAAATGATATGCGAAGTCTAAGGATGCCAATCACAGAACACATTCTAGAAAGGCATAAAACATGACTGCAGGAAGACTCTGAGCTACAGGGAGCTCGGAAATTCTGTTAGTCAGTTTTAGATTTATATTAGGAACAGAAAACTGCATGCATTTTATTTAATTTGCAGAAACTGAGTTACTAACCCCAAGGCAAATATTCAAGAGATGCACTTGCGTCCATCACATGAAACCACTGTTAACTCTTTATTCACACACATCGGTGAGCCATCCTCACAACGGAACACGAAACAACCGTGAACTCGCAATAACACTAGTCTAGGCATACTTAAAAATACATTTCAGGAGACATAAAGACTCAACATGGAAAAGTACCGTTTCTATTTCAGCTAGCATATTAACTTCAAAGTCAAAGCATTCCTAACATATATGTCCACGAGAATCAAGTTGGCACAAAATTTCCTGAACCTAAACAATCAGCAGAAAAACATCTCAAATAAACGTCTTTATATTTGAATATACGACCAACTCTGTGGTTAAAGTCTTCTTTTTATCATGATATGAAATAATTTTGGACTGCATTAAAGTTAGAATATAATCGTAAGAGATAACTTTTTCACATAAGTACAATTTTTTTTTTAGAAAAAAAAAAAGAATGATGTGGTGGTTGGTGGTGTGCTCAATACAAGAACCTTTATAGGTAGGTCAAGCCTATAGCAGGTAGGACCAGCCAGGCTTGGAAATCTCACAGAGAAGTAATGGCATCCACCCTCCTAGGAAGAATTATGGCTAGGCTTGGTGCTTAAGAGCTTCTACAAAGGAAAAGAAAACGCAAAGTGCTTCTTGGAAACAGACCTCCCCCGCCCTCCATTCCACCGCCTACCCTTAGGGCGTCTCCGAACCCTCTCCCACCCAGCTCTGTTCTGGGGTACAAGATTTCATCCAGAGCACCTGACGGTCCCCAGGGCTGGTTCCGGCTGCTGTTTACTTGTGCCCACGCGGGGGTAGCTCTGATTTGGGAAAGGTAAAACGGTTCCCACCGGCCCTGCCCCGCCAAGCAGCCCATCACAGGGATCTCGTACCTTTGTACCTCTCCAGGACGTCCTCGTAGGCCTGGAGGTACTCCTGCTCCTCCACGTACAGGTAGGCGGCGGGGGACAGGTACCCCGCCATGCCCGGGTCTGGGGTGCTGGCCGCGCCCGTGGGCCCGCGACCCGGGAGGGGGCGTCAGAAATCCCAGGCTGGAGGGACAGCGCGGCGGCAAGCACGGGACAGCGACCCCAGGGAAGGCTTCGGGTGGCCGCGGGCGGTGGCGCGGGGCAGGCAGCCTCCTGAGCCTGCGCCCCGGGCCGCGGCGCTGCGGAGGACAGCGCTGCCCCGCCGGGATGCGCCGCGCTTCTGCGGCATCTCCGGGCTGCGCCACAGACGCCCGCCCGGGAGGAGGAGCAGCAGCGCTGGGCTCCGGCACCGCCCTCTGGCCCGCCCACCGCCCTCCGCCCGCCGCCCGTCCCAGCGCGGTTTCTATTTGGGACCCACAACAGGTGCGGGGGAAACAAAGCCCCGGGGCTAGTCCCTACTGATGGGGCTGGAGGCTCTCCCCGAGGAAGGGGTATCGTCGACCATATTGGAAGTACTTTCCCTAGCCCATCTGACGGCACAGAGGGCCAGGTCACTGTAACGGCACGAAAGGGACCGACCCGCGTCCTGGGGACAAACGTCCAGACCTGGCGGCCTCTGGAGGTGGCAGGGTGCTTCAGGGCCTGACAGTGCCTCCAGGGTCAGAGCTGCTGCAGACCAGCCGGCGGCCCCTCCCTTCTGCCCCCCAGAGCCTGCCGGCGCATCTGCTGCTGCTCTAGGAAGGACTGTCCATTCACCACAGTCCAGACTACTGTCCCCTCCCTCTTCCCTTGTATTATTCACTGCACATAGTACCAGCATCCATTGAGCAAAGGGGATACAGTTCTCTTAAATTTGGTTCGCCATATGCTAAAATGAGTAACTTTAAAGGACCCCAAGATGAACCAACTGGCACGAGGCATGTAATGGATGTTTTTCAAAAACACTGACTGGAGTCCAGCAGCTGTGGATGGAATCTTACATCCTCACTGTGGGTCACCAGCAAGTAACTGATTATCTTCACGGGCAAATATGGGAAGATAGTAACTAAATGAAGCTCTGAGTATAAAAAGGTTTTTTTAGTGTTAGCTACCACTATTTCCATGCATAGAAAGCCCACTCGTTAACAACCATCTGGATATATGACACTTCTCTCTAAATCTTCCATCTCCTATTTCCTCTGGCCTCTCCCCCCTCGACTCTTTCTTCGTTGATGTTTAGTGCTGTGGAATTGAAACCATCTTCTGTCAACACTATATGAGGATGAAATATGCTTGAAAAGTGATTTCTGTTAGAATCAGGGCAGATAACTCCTCCTCGGCAATTGACCTGCTTTTATTTCCCCAAATAAAGCACCTCGTCTCTCTTCTCTAGCTAGATCACTTGTCTAGCTTGGTCTCTGGTCTGAGTTTGATCCCTGCGTATAAATAAAACTCAAGCCATTCTTGTGCATATTAGTTTATGTAGTAACCTTGGGACAACTTCTTGAAATGAAGAATTAGCAATGAGTTCCCACTTCCACGTGTCATTCATACAGACAGCCCTCGCTGAATACACAGTAAGGCCAGGGAAGGAAAAGTCCACGACTTCATCAGCAACCGACACCCAGTAGCATCCGGTTTTATGAATACAGTCAGCACATATTTTAGTGTTTTTAAACTGTCCATTTAAAGAGCCAGTCAGAATGAACACAATTAGCATCTGGGGTTCAGCCTTTGCCCCAAGCGTTCTTGAAAGCACAACAGTGGGTGGATATGCTAGTACTAACAGTATAATCCACAGGAAAGCAACCAGAGCAGCATCAAAGAGCCTGGCTTTGGAGTCAAGACCGTCTGAATCCAGATCCTAACTGATGGACGGCCTTGGGTGCTTCTACTCACTGAGGGCATCTATGAACTGAGAAAACTACAGGTCCTATTGTATAGGGTGCCTGCAGGCCTCCTGAGATGTATCTGTACCTGCTTAGAAGACGCCGTACTATGCGTATGGCTATCCATCACTATAGAGTATATTCCATGTTGCAAAAATGTTTTACATTATCTACTTCTAGCTTCCATGTCTCTGTCCTATTTATCACCGCAGCCATGACTCTTCAATTAGGAAACTGGAGCTAAGAAAAGGTCAGTGATTGTCCAACCAAAACACACCTGGAGATGGGCATGGTTGTGTGCAGCTGTAATCCTGGCACTGGAGAGAGGGCGGCAGGAGGGTCAGTATTCATGGTCAGCCTCAGCACACTGACAGAAAGCTTGTGCCGAATGAGAACCTGTCTCATAAAACAGCAACAACAGACTCAGGGAGGGTGGCAGAGGAGGAATTAAATCCAAACTTTCCTACATTCAGAATCGGATCCTCCAGTGCAGTGGTTCTCAACACTCTTAATGCTGCTGCCCTTTAATACAGCTCCTCATGTTGTGGTGACCCCCCTCAGCCATAAAATTATTTTATTGCTATGTCATAACTGTAAGTTTGCTACTGCTATGAATCATAATGTAAATATCTGATATGAAGGATATCTGACGCGAACCATCTAAGGGTCGCGACCCCAGGTTGAGAATCACTGCTCCAATCAGCCAATCCTAGCTTTAAAAAAAAAATAAATCTCTTTTTAAAACATTACCACTGAAGAACCAAGTGCTTTTACAGGTAATTTCAAGGTGGAAAACCCAACTGATAATACCCTATAGCTAAGGACAGCGGATTTAAATTATTCACATCTAAAATGCACTTATACAGTGTTACGAAGTCCCTGTCCTTACCTATTATTCAGTCTCAGTGATCCGAGAAAGAGACACTGAAGCCCTATAACTGCAGATTTTAATAAAATGAAGTGACAATAACTCCCCCCACCCCGAGACAGCATTTGTCTGTAGCTTTGGAACCTGTCCTGGAACTCACTCTGTAGATCAGGCTGGACTCAAACTCACAGAGATCTGTCTGCCTGTCTCCCGAGTGCTGGGATTAAAGGCATGTACCACTACTGCCCAGCAGTAAATATTTTTCAGTGCTGTGCATCAAACCAAGGCCTTGGGCAGCCAAGGCAAGGGCTCCGCCACTGAGCTATCTGTAGATAGAGATCAATAAAGTATCAGAAACATGTCACCATCACTGACTTCCTAGAACACAAACCTGATTGCATTACTGCACTGCTCTAAAACCTTTCAGTGTCTCCACTGTGTGCAGCGGGAGCAGCCCCAAGGGCTCCATACTGCAACTCCCAACGTAGTTTCTACCCTCCTTGCAATCCCTACACTTAGCTACACACGCAGCTTGCAGGTCACATTTAAACAAGTCCCCTGTTCTTGCTCACGCGGTTCCCTCCCTTTGAAGTGGCCTTCCCTGTCACCCTAATTCTATCAAGCTCTTTTGATCTCAGATCAAGTAGTACTTCCTCTCAACACCCTTCCAGGAGCCTCCCACATCTCCCTTCTCCCCAAGGTCAACGAAACTCCTCCGGTTCTTTTAATATTAGGTGAGTCCAGCCATGACGGCTAATCTCTCAAAGCATGTTGTAAACATCTGGCAGCTCATCTATTTGTCGTATTAACTATGACTTTTTAAAGGCAGAGCTGTGTTCTATTCTGTGTTTTACTCAATAGGCATGTGTTAACAACAGATGAATTAAGTTATCCTACAGCCCACATGGCTTTTTGACTCAGGGGACATTTCACAAACAACTCTACTCTAACGGCCTTAAGAACTATCACACGAGCACCACAAACTTCTCCCCACTTCTGACCTGCACTCCATCTTTCACAAGCGACGAATTCCAAACAAGAGCTGAGTTCCAAGAAGAATGTCAAATGTGTTGTAAAAGTAGAAGTGGAAGTTTTAGTGGCACGCTTTCAAACTATCCTTATCACCGGACTCCTTTAGACAGACTATACCCTCACTGCACTGGGTAAACAGTGGCCAGTCTGATACATAATACCCCTGAATTTCCTAATTTAGACACACAAGGGATTAAACAGACTTGTGGACTGGCTCCAACTCTGTCCTCCTTGTGGGATTATTTATGATTTGCATAGCAAACATGTAATTTACGAATATTTTAAAAAGCAGTGATATAGCTGGGTGGTGGTGGTGCACACCTTTAATCCCAGCAGAGGCAGGAGGATCTGTGAGTTCGAGGCCTAACAATAGCTAATGATAGCTAGTTCCAGGACAGACGCCGAAGCTACAGAGAAACTTTGTCTCAAAAGGAAAAAAAAAAAAAAGCAGTAACATGCCTCTACACTTCCATATTGTTTGTTGTTCATTTAGTTTTATTCTATTTTTTGAAGAATTTGTGTGACTTTAGAAGTATATACTTTGAGGTCTCAGTAACCCATCTCAAACTCAGCGGACATTTCAGTGCCCAGCACTGGCCTCTGCCCTCAGATCTGCAGTACCCTCTTCACCACTGCTCTCCCCCATGCCTTTGCTGCCTAAGGGTGCTCAATGGTAGGCAAGAGCAGCTCCCGTGACATATGCCTGCTAACATGTTCTGCAGTTTATGTCATCACATTCCCACCGACAAACACCTACCTGTTTCTACCTCATAAACTCCTTCTTCACTACACAAACGAAACATCCACCTCCTGCAAAAACCACATGTCGGGTGTGGTGGTGCATGACTTGGATCCCAGCATCCGAGAGGCAGAAGTGGGCAGATCTCCAAGAGTTTGATGCCAGCCTGACCGACATAAGGAGTCTCAGGCTAGCCAGGGCTATACAGTGAGCCCATATCAAAACAAACAAAAAGCACAAAAAAAAAAAAAAACAGAACTACACGGAATAGGCTCCCTGCTTCATGCCTAAGGCTTTCCACGCTGACAGCTTGTATACACCTTCCCTTCACCTATGTTCTCCTTTGGCTGAGCCAAAAGTCTGGGTCTGCTAGTGTCCTTCCGCTCCATAAGGCTTGAGCTGCAGTGAGCTATCAAGACAGAGGCAGGCCCAATGACTAAACACAGACAGGAGGGCAGTCAGAGCCAAGGCCCAAACCACCTCACTCTCATTTGGCTTCCAAAGGCCACCGTCCCTCCCCTTCCCCTTCCTGCTCCACCCCTCCTTCTCCAAGGCTGGGTGACACCAGCCAGCATCTCACAACAGAAGCCAAAAGAAGCTCAGGGCTGTTGCCCCAGAAACCCTGACTACAGAGTGATTGGCCAAGCTGTTTGTTTCTCTTATCATTAAAAAATCCCACTGGGGACCCTATGGAGACTCTAGGCACCCCGATGGCTGAAGACAAAGCCCCAGTGGTGCAGTACCTGGGAAGCAAAGGCAACTATGAGAGCACAGCCCCCAACCCTGCCTAGTTAACAACTTGGGGACAGGAGAGGGAAGGAGGCCTGAACATCTGGCCTTTAGCCTTTGGCCTTTGTAAGTGAATCTCCAGAGAAGTACCCAGCCCATCCTGCCCTATTACCATTCCAAGAGTGGGGAAAAACTTAAAGGAATGTAGAGCTATCCCCTCTCCTGCGGACCGACCCGCACAACCCACGTGTATGCCTGCACAAGCCCCAGGGGAGCTACAGGCCTGAAAGCTGCTTCCTTAGTGTTCTCAGCTTTCAGCTATGTGAAACAAGCTATCCCTCGCACAGGACAGAAACACCGGCCTCTCCCCATGTATTAATTAATCCAGAGTCCGTGATGGTCCCTCACAAACACTAAGGACACAAAGCACCTATGAACATGATGCATACAGAAAAGCTACATTAAAAAAATGTTCAAATTGCTGGGTTGCGCTCAGCATCCTAGGTACCAAAAACCATGAGACTTGAGTTAGACATGCGTATCTCGGTGCCCTTGGGGGGGGGGGAGAAAAGGAAGAAAACGAAGGCTGGCCTCCCCCAGCTTCCAGCAAAATCCTCCAGAAAGTCTACGGTATTAATACTCTCGGGTTACCTCAATGGTCAGTGTGCATCCACAGAAAGTTTAGCACAGATACCTGTAAATATTTGCTTGCTTTCAGAATCTATCGATTCATCCAACCAGAAAGCAGGGCCAAACAGCTTAGTCACCAGTGCAGGGAGGAGAAGCGCTCCGGGAAGTAAACATGGTCATTTCCTCCCCCACCTGAGACAATTTCTACCCAGTGCATCAGCTTGCAGATACAGCACCAGGGAACAGATGGGCGAATTTCTGCCACCCCCATCCCCTCCCCCACTTACCTGCTATCCGAAGCACAGCCCTCTCAGCCGGGTCCAGCACCGAGCCCCCATGAATCTTCCTTTTGGACCGCTCATGTTTAGGCAGATTCCAGGGTAAGGTGTCTCCAGGAGCTGGAGATGCTGAGCCAGATTTCTGGCTGAAATCATCCTCGTCAGAAAAATCCGCAGAGGAGGACATGGAGCAGCGGTAGGATGCGTTCCCGGAGCTCTGAGGAGGATGACACAGGAAAAGCTTAGCGGCAGAATGCTCACAAACGATCCCCCGCTTACAAATGATCATCAGTTACGATAACTCTGCCCCCTCCCCACCTCCAAGCTGCTCTCTCTGCCCGCCAGAGAAAACACACGCAAATAAAAATAAAACGAACTCCAGGGCTCACCATATTTTCTTGGCCAAGTCTGCTCCAACAGAAACAATAAGCAAGCAGTTCCAATGCATGAAGACCAGAAGGAAGAAGTGTGTGGCCTGCGCTCCAGACACCAGCTCAACAAATGACTAGCCCAACAATGAAGCCAGAATCAACAGCCTTCCTGTGACAAATCTATAGTATCTGGCTCCCCCAGCAGGACAGAAGAAACATTTTCCATTGCTAGCCTTCTGGTTAATTCATTAATGCAACTAACTTTGAGTTTCAAAAACAAAGCACAAACGCAGGATGTTGGGTCCCACCTCCTTTACGTTTCAAGCCGCCTAGTCGCAGGAACCTCCTTTTAAGCAGTTTTGAGCCCTGTGTCCTCTTTATTTAATTTTCTGCATGAGCCTGAAGCAGGTTCCCAGAAAAGGCCGAGGAGGGAGGGAGGGCTGATTCTGAGAAGAGCCTTTTCTTAAGACTGGGAGAGCACAAAAGCCTGTTTTCAAAAGCCAAAGGCAACGCCAATAAACAAACATCTGAACTCAGTTTAGAGTTCTTGAGATAATTTAAACTTCCAGCGGGGAACAACTGCCAATAATGTAAATGAGAAGGACACAGCGCAGGGACAGGAAGCCAAGTTCTCAGCTGAAGCCATCGCACAGTAAGATGAGAAACACAGACTTTTACCAAAACGCTTTGCCTGAAGGTTATTCCTCCCAGATCCTGCAGGAGCTCGGTATCCTCAGACTCAGACTTTTCATAAAAAGGCACACAGTGCTATCCCTTCTTTTTCATTTGTTTGTGTCTGTGACTATTTAGACAGTCTGCAGCCCAGGGAGAAAAGGATGCCGAGTATCTGTGCTGTGGACTGGATTAAAAACTCTCCAAAGTATTGAAGGGTACTCTTCATTTGCCTCTTTCTTTGCTGGGGCTCAAGGTGACGATGCCAAACTAGCATAACTTGAATTCCTCGAGATGAAAGCTGTAGCCATGGGTTCCCAAGCAGCAAGCTGCAGGCAGAAATCTCAGTGAGGCAAGCTCCAATTTGAAGCAAAAACACTGGTAACCACAGCAGCAACGGGATGTGTGAACAACATCCCAGCACTCACACAGGACCCGATAAACAGGCTATGACGGCATCAGGACCACGGACCACCGTTCAAACCACAGCTGTTCAGGGCCAAAGCACGAAGCATGGTAATATTTATCTAATTTATGTTCACTTTCCTGGTAATATGAAGACAGTAAGGAAACTTGAGGAAAGTAAATGAATAAACTTGAATTTCTGTATTTTAAGCCACAGCATTTGGCTGTCATCAACCCAATTTATTTCCCTAAGCTTATCTGAAAATCCAACTTGAGTTATCTGAGGTTTGCTGGTGGTGGGATCGAAAGGGAGGGGGAGACATTCTTAAGGACTTTTAGGGGTTATTGCAGTTCTCTGGTTTCCTCGTGTTCTACTTGTCCTTTCTTAAGGCCATCCTTTATCTTTGAGGTTGTATTTCTGCACTATTTTAGTGAGACCAGTAATTTGCTAATCTGTCCTGAGATGGGAGAAATAACTGTGCCTTTCCAAAAACCACTGGCTATTGATTTTTGCAGAGTAAATTTTTTTAATGGTCAGAGTCTCAGCTGACTGAACAACAAAATGTGATTTATGCCATGACAGCAACACTATTAATCACCTCACAGCCAGATGGGAACAGTTACTTCCCTGGACCCAAGGGTGTTGACTGGCACAGCCTCTAATCTGGCCATGTCACTGATAACTAGATAAGAGAACAGTAAGAAAAAAAATTATCAGGACCACGTCTTTCAACAGTTTACTATAGGGCCATACAGACCACACACATTTATATCAGACAAGCTTCTAAGCAGTAACGCCCCTACTTGTCTACAGAATTCAAACCTTTTAACAGAGTATTACACTTTTTTTTCCCAAACACACACAGACCAAAATCACTTTTAGAACTGGAGGTACGTTCTACAAAATGAAAGCCCGTTTGAAAGCTGGAAAATTGAGACTATATTTAAATGAAACTACTTCAAAGTGGAGAGCTCACATAAATTTTTATATCCCTTATTGATCTGTAATGACTTGCCAAATCATGTCACTATCTTGGGGCTGGAGAGAATAGTATGAGAACACTACTGTGTTTTATTTGTTTGGAGAAAAGTAAACAGTTCTCTGACCCAAACTCTAGAGCCTGACCTTTGATGAGGGCTTAGGACAAAGGAAAAAGACTCCAAGAGCATCAAAAGCTCCACGATCCTAGTTCTTATTCTACTGGTTGCCTGAAAATCAACTCCTATTGAAATACAAGTATCTATGTCCATCTATAGGGGACTAGTTAAATATACTGTATCTATCCCATGGGCTACTCTGCAGCAGGTAAACAAAAAAGTTGATCTACATTTAACAAAGAAGAAATAATTCATATATAATGAAACCTTTAAAAAAATCCATATACATATGTGTACCCACTGTGTGTATAAAAAGACAGATGATGGGGCTGGAGAGATGGCTCAGTGGTTAAGAGCACTGCCTGCTCTTCCAAAGGTTCTGAGTTCAATTCCCAGCAACCACATGGTGGCTCACAACCATCTGTAATGGGGTCTGGTGCCCTCTTCTGGCCTGCAGGCATACACGTAGACAGAATATTGTATACATAATAAATAAATAAATAAATAAATAAATAAATAAATAAATAAATATAAAAAAAAAAGACAGATGATGTATTACTACTCAAGAGTGGTTGTCTCTGGGCAACGACAAAGATTAACATGATTCATTTGTTTCTTACAATTTTTAAATTCACCAAAAGGTAATGTCCAGAGAAAATATTAGATATGGAAATTATAGGTTCAGGGCTCAGGAGCCCCACTGCAAAGTGAATGGAGCCCACTGAAGCCTCCTTCCAGAGCAAAACAAGTAAGCCATTACACAGAAACTACATCAGCAAATGCACAGGCATCTCCGGCCTCCTGACCCAGAGGTTAGGGCTCCAATTCACACTACCCTCTGTCATCACCACTTGCAGATAACAAGGGAAATAGGAGCTAGTTCTCCAGAAAGGGAAAGGGTAATTGGGCTGTGAAGACAAAGCTGACATTTGTCGCTCTCCTTTTCCCCCCATGAATTGGTGTGCACTACTTCTGTACTCATACTGAGTTTCTATAACCAGAACAAATAAAAACACAACAACCCTGCACCGGGTCTTCTACAACCTGAGATATTAAACCAATTTTATCAAATTAGATCACTAAAAGATCACTCTAACGTTCCTGATAGCCAGTTCATTTACATGGTACAAAAACAACCCAAATCTTCTAATGCCGAGATAATTACATAATATGACATTTTAAAATGGACAGTAACTTTCTACTTGAAGTCCCAGGACAGAATCTGCGCCGTTGACAGTGGGACTGCCTAACTGGATGTGGCCCAACCTGAACAGCCTGGTCTGTGAGAAACTGCCAGGAAATTGTCTTGGCACTGGGTACCCTCTAAAGCCACTGGGAAACAAGTCCAAAGAGAAGGATTTTGTGAAAGAGCCAGACATTCAGAGTCCCATGGGTTGAAGAGCACACTCTCAATGGCCCACACACTCATCGCCTATCCACATGTCTATATATGTATGGTTCACATTAATTTTTTAAAAAATAAGAGAAGAGGGGCTGGAGAGATGGCTCTGAGGTTAAGAGCACTAGCTGTTCTTCCAGAGATCCTAAGTTCAATTCCCAGCAACCATATGCTGGCTCACAACCATCCATAATGAGACCTGGCACATATGCAGACAGAATACTGTATATATAATAATT